GTGGGGTCGGCCGCCAGGATCGAGTTCGTGGGTGTTGGTGCTAGTTAGGCGTGTTTGCAGTTTTTGGTACTAAGACTATGGGAGAGATTCGGCCCGTTTTGGTGGTCGGCCGTGTGCTGTTGTCGTGGTTTCGGTGTTGTTACCTGTCTGCTGGGAGGGCTTTTGTCTATTGTATTTATGTAGTGTTTGTTTGTAGTATGTATTTTTTTTATGTGTTTCTCTTTTCTTTTTCTTGGGTGTTATTATCGTGGGTACGTTGTGGTAATCTAGGTTTCCGTATGGGATGTCCTCCGACTAGATTTGGATTTTGACCGAGTTCTAGATGTAAATATGTGTTCTATTTTCTTTTATAAAAATCTATTGTTTCGACAAAGAAAAAAAAAAAGAAAAACGAACAAAAAAATGCCAGTGATATCATCCTTGGTAAATATGTGTTGTATTTTCTTTTATAAAAATCTATTGTTTGGACAAAGAAAAAAAAGTAAGAAAACCGAAAAAAAATTGCCAGTGATATCCTTGCCCTCAGCTGATCAAAGTGGAGTTCTTTGCTTATAAAATCATTTCATTTTGCCCTAGTGTAAATCTCGTGCGTGCATGGAAAACTCATATTTTAAACTTTTTTTAGACTTTATTTTAAATATAAATGTTCATATTTTTCACATCTCATGTCATTATGGAAGTAAACTAAATACAAACAATGAAAAAAATAAAAAAATATATATATATATATAAATATATATATTATTAAACACTTCTTTTTATACAATATTAGTGCGTACCTCGTGCGATGTATGAGATAAAAATATTAAATGAGTTATTTTCATAGGCTCTGTCCGTTTGATACTAAAATGTAATAGGGTTATCATCTATTTTCTCTCTCTTTTCAACGTTAAGTTTGGTAACACAAAACTCCTCGACCGGCTGGAACTTGAGTAATCGCCTTCCTTCTCGCCGGTTGAACGTCGTGCACCTACAAAGAACTCTCACACAGGAGGGATTTTCCGGTGAAGAGCCTCCGAAGCTTAAGTCAGTGTGTATTCAATCAATTCTCAAGAGTAAGTAGTAGAATGATCGTGTTGAAGAAGAAAGGCTCACCCCCTTTATATAGGGGTGAGATACCTGACCTAGGGCTGCCCGGATTTGATGAGTTGTCTGCCCTAGCTGCCCGTCCGTACATACCAAACGCGTGTGTCAGAGGCGGCCGTCGCCACTATCGCCTGCACCAATCCTCTTTGGACGCGTGTCCCCCTACACATGGGGTAGGCTGTCAGAGGTGGTTATCGCTATCCACCACTGCTTTACCGACACATGTCCCCCTGCACATGGGGCAAATATTCTCCTGGAATTCTGTCAGAGGCTTCCTTCACGCGCCTGTGGCTAGGCCGAACAGCGTGGTGTCAAGTCCTCGAAGTAATCGACCTGCTGAGGTCGAATAGATTGCTCGATCGCGTATCTGGTCGAAAGATAGTTTGGTCGACCGCCTTGCTTGGTCGACTGATTAATTGCTCGATTTCTTTGGCTTCCGCATAATATGACCTCCTCGACCGGTCAACAGACCGGTTCAGCCTTGTGGGTATAATATCCCATATCATCTAGTCCCCCCCACTCTGGTCGAGTCTGAATTATTCGATCTAAGAGTGAATTAGCATTTATCGTCCTTCTGGATGGTTCGGCGTTGGATATCGACCAGTTGGTAAGCTTCCCGCTCACTTTTTCGAATAATTTCCCATTAATCCCTAGCCATAAAGTCATCCGCTTTAAGTCCTTTCTGTCGCATCCGTTTTCTGCCACGCGTCACGACTGTCACGTGTGTCAGGCGCTTTGATTATTGCGCCTCCTCGCCTAACGCGTCCGTTTTGAGCTCCGTGCAAATTAATACCCCCCATCGTTGGATCTACCTTTAATCTGACGGCCCTGCTCTCCCCACCTTTTAACCTCCCAAGTATATATTTGGCACTTAGCGATTTTTTCCAGTTTTTCCACCTTTGCAACTTCGGACTCCCCTGTGTTCAAACATTCCTCTTGCAAGAACCCTAATTTATTTCGACGCTTTCCCCTGCAATCTTCAAGCTCTTCTACATCTTCCATCTGCGCTCATGAGTAAGTTGCTCCTCCTCTGGTTTTACGCTCTCTGTGCTTAGAATTTTATGTTTCGAATTTTTTGAATTGGATGTTTCAAGTCTGCTAACTGGGTGTTTTGAATTCGTATGTCGGGTGTTGGCTTTTTCCCTGTTCAATTGTTGTAGATTTCGCTCTCTCCCTCTGAGATTCTCCTTGAATCGCTGCTCTTCTCCCCTGATTTCTCCCAAAACCACCTTTTCCGTAAAACCCCTATTTTGAAAACTTTCTCTTTCTTCCTCTCTTCCTTTCCGTCCAAATTTCTCTTTTTGACATTGCTCCTTTCTTCTTTGTTTTTCAGATCTTGCTGCCTCGACCACCTCCTCTGATTCGGTTGAGATCCTGCCCTCCGCACTTGAAGCCGTTCCCCTTTCAATACTCCGTCCTGGTGAGACCGTACCTACACGCATTTTTACCGCCCGTGTCTCTTCTCCCAACTCTGGGGATACCATGGATAATGTTCCCCTCCGCCGTCGCCGACCTGCTCTTGGTGAGCTAGATGACCCTGAGAGGGACGAAGTTGCTTCTCCATCCTTGAACATCCCTCCCTCTTCCCCCAACCTAGCGCTTCTGCCTCCCCGCCTAAGAAAAAATCGACCAAAGCCACCTCTAAAGCTTCTTCCAAACGCTCCTCTTCTCTTACTCTTTCCAGTGATTGGGTGAGTCCTTCCAAAATCGTCGACCTGTTGGTTGGGCCTTCTACCTCCCTTCAGAGTCCGACAAATATGACCAGCCTCCGGAGAATTGTTACACCTTCTTCGAAATCCAGTTTAAGATGGGCTTGCGTTTTCCCCTGAACCCCGAGTTACTTCAAATTTGTGAGTGGTTTGGGCTCCCCTTGCATCAGCTTACTCCAAATGCCATCCGCTTCATGACGGTTTTCATTATTCTCTGTCATGTTTGCCTCGGTCGATTCGACCTCGCCTTTTTTCATTACTGTTACGCCCCTTCCAAACAAGCTCGAGGGCTCTACCTAAAGAGTCGCAACGGCGCTCACTTTATCGATGACATCCTGTAACGCCCCACTTTTATTTAACAAAAATCAGAATAAATTTCTCAAAATTTATTTCAATATACTTGGCGGCGCTACTAATTGAAAAACCATTTTCCATAACATCATAAACATAACTCCCAAACGGTTTCATAAATCGAATCAACACCCAAACC